CCTGTCTCAGACGAGCCGGGGCCTGTCGCCGCTGCCGCGCCGCGCAGGGCCCCTTGCTGACTTCCGCAGCCCCGCTCTGAGGGGGCGGCCACGGCGGCCACCACTGGCCGGACAGGTCAAGCCGCAGCTTACACGCCACGCGCCGAGGCGGCCGGTCAGCCTCAGCCAGCCGGACACTTAGTGCTTTCCGCTCTGATGCCCAGTGAGTTCGAGGACAGAGCCCCGCCCCCCAGGACAGGGCCCCGCCCCCAGGACAGGGCCCCTCCCACCCCCCAGGGCAGAGTCCTGCCACCCCCCCAGCAGGGCCCCCCCAGGACCCCCCCAATCCCCCAGGGGTCCTGCTCCCCCCAGCACGAAGTTGGCCAAGTGCGTCTGACATCTTCCTCAAGGCCGGAGCAGCTCTCACCTCCGGCGTGTCCGGTGTGTCCGGCGTGTCCCGCGTGTCCCGCGTGTCCGGCGTGTCCCGCGTGTCCCGCGTGTCCGGCGTGTCCCGCGTGTCCCGCGTGTCCGGCGTGTCCCGCGTGTCCCGCGTGTCCCGCGTGTCGCGCGTGTCCCGCGTGTCCGGCGTGTCCGGCGTGTCTCAGCAGCCCTGCGGAGGTGCTGTTGATCCACTGATGAGAGACCCCGATTCCCCTTCAGCGTAGGTTTCGGGGCGCTTAGTGGAGATGCCAGAGGACAGCCACTGCAGCAGACACACTCAGTTCCCAGAGGGTTCCGGCTCAACTCGGGGGCCCGGCGCCCCGCTGCCCGCCGCCTGGGGCCCGTCGCCCGCCGCCTCGGGGCGACTCACAGCCGAGCCTTGAAGGCCCGATGGTCGGGCTCGTCCGCCAGGCGGGGGTCCCAGGACCCCCAGCACGGCCAGGGCCCCCGCCGGGTCCCAGGGGTGTGTGGCCGCGGGGATTGCCGGTTGTCGACTGGACGCCGCCGCTTCCCGGCTCTGTGCCGGCACCGCCCGGGGCTGTGGCCACCTGCAGGGACCCGAGGGGAGACGCAGGCTCTAGGCAGCCGCGGGCCTGACCACTGACCAGCCCCGGCGGGGCTCCAGGAGGCCCAGGCAGCTCTGCTGGGCACCGCGCGGGAACGGGGCGCGGCCGGGGCTGCCCAGGGCTGACCGCCGAGGGCGCCCAGGTCCTCGCTTGTTGGCGCCACGTCTGCCCGGAGCGGGGATCGCGGGGGGCTGCTGTGGCGCCCCCAGACACACGCTGGGGGGGCGAGGGCCCGGCCAGGCGGGCAGAGAGGCCCAGCGTGTCCCGTCAGGCGCCACCAGCCCCTGAGGGGCGCCCGGTGGCCCGGAGGGGTCAGCCCAAGCAGGACAAAGGCCCCGGCTGCCCCGCGGGCCTCTCCCCACGGCCTCCGCCGTCCCCGCGGCCCGGTGCCCCCCAGTGTGTCCCCCATGGCCCCGGCAGGCCCCCCAGCCCAGCGCCCCAGGACTCGCCGACACATTCTGCCTGGTGGCCGGCGGAGGCCGCAGGCTGGGCAGGGACTCGAGGTCGCCCGCCGTTAGCGCCGGGTCAGCCGAGGGCCGGGACGGCCAGTGGGGCGCGACGTGCCCTGCGAGGGACACGGGACTCACCGGTCAGCGCTTCCTGTGGTCTCAGGACGGGCCTCCCGCGGGGCTGGGCTCGTGCTGTCCACCTGAGGCCCAGGCCTGTCCCTGGCTGTGCCCGGCCAGTGCAGCCCCGGCGTGCCACAGACTGGACAGGGGCTCCCGGGCCTCGCCGGCCTGTCACTGACCGCTGTCCCTGCGCCGCGTTGGGGCGCACTGTCCTCGAGGGTTAGGCACGTGGTGGACAGCACCCCGGGTGGACAGGGGCCGGGCGGGCAGGGCTGGGCGAGGGCGGGGGCCCGGGGTCGCAGGGGTGGTGGCCCCGGGTCCGCACATTCAGAGTGACCCTTTCTGTCTTGCAGAGGAAGAGGGCGGGGACCTGGCCCACCCGGGCATCAGCTTTCCAGGGCCGGCGGACGAGGACCT